TTGTAAATAAATTTGACAACAAATTGCACTTCAAAATCATTTGCGACTCTTTAGATGTAGAGTGTACTTTGTTATTATTCACAAGTTCAATGACAAGGTCAATGCTGGTACACAGCACTGCAGTTAAAGGGTTAAGAAAATGTGTAAAGCTAAGCAGAATACAAAACCACAATATGAAACTCAAGTCTTTTTTTATAAAAAAGACAAGTGCTGGGCACTATTAAAATGCATTGTCAAATAGGCTCACCAAATGTTGACACCGAGGGCACTATTTTAATCACAGTTTGATGCAGTCTTGTCATTTTATAATTTGTAAAAAAAAAAGATCACTGGACATTAAAGTCAAAATCTTTGAAGCTTCTGCCATTAAAGTTAGTCTGCAATGCACACCAGACTCTGGATTTTTTAACAATTAAAAAACAAATCAGACAACAGTGACATTCAGAACTGTTGGCTGGCACAGAATATACGAAAAAAAACACTCAATTAGGTTCCTTCTATTCTGATTATTCAGACACTCACTTACAATCCATGATTACAGGTGATGAGCCAGACACTACAATCCATGATTACAGGTGATGAGCCAGACACTCACTTACAAACCATGATTACAGGTGATGAGCCAGACACTCACTTACAATCCATGATTACAGGTGATGAGTCGAACACTCACTTACAATCCATGATTACAGGTGATGAGCCAGACACTCACAATCTATGATTACAGGTGATGAGCCAGACACTCACTTACAATTCATGATTCCAGGTGATGAGCCAGACACTCACTTACAATCCATGATTACAGGCGATGAGCCAGACACTCACTTACAATCCATGATTACAGGTGATGAGCCAGACACTCACTTACAATCCATGATTACAGGTGATGAGTCGAACACTCACTTACAATCCATGATTACAGGTGATGAGCCAGACACTCACAATCTATGATTACAGGTGATGAGCCAGACACTCACTTACAATTCATGATTCCAGGTGATGAGCCAGACACTCACTTACAATCCATGATTACAGTTGATGAGCCAGACACTCACCTACAATCCATGATTACAGGCGATGAGCCAGACACTCACTTACAATCCATGATTACAGTTGATGAGCCAGACACTCACTTACAATCCATGATTACAGGTGATGAGCCAGACACTCGCGTACAAATCATTCTTCAAGAAACTCCTTTGAATTTTAAACATCCAAAAATCCATGTTTACCAAGTAAACGTTTATCAGAATTAAAACATAATTTATAAAAATGTATCAATCTGTCCTATTTCAAGAAAATCATCTTTTTTATTCATATTACTTACAATGTAACAGTCCACATTCAAAGATAAACAATCAAAAAACACAAACTGGGGTTCTAATTTGATGTTCATACATGAGTGGCACTATAGAACTGAAATGGTGTCAGAAACACTGGTCAATGTTTGCCAGGTATTAATAAAAATACTATATAACCGTAGCTAATACTATGTACTTTAATAATACATAACCTCATAATGCTGGATAACATAACGTACACCCATCTGCTGTCATGACAACCAAAAGATGATAAAAAAATCTCCATCTACCCAGGAAGTTCTTTTTCTTCAAAGTACTTTTTCTCAATTCGTTGACAAAATCGAATCAAATTCGGATACGTCTCAATGATTTCTGCAAACTTCCGACTAATCTGTCGTGTTGTTAGTAATGTATATACATGACCGAATACCAGTGCATCTAACTCAGTCGGTCTGAAACAAAGAACAGTGAAACATGACATAGACAGCTTTAAGATGGTAGGTGTATTAGTCTGCTAATTGAGATTCACAACATGAAAACAACGTGATCCACAGTATTGAAGTTATACTCTGTCTGCAGTCTGATTTATTCCAGCACACCTGTACCACAACTTTGATTTCTAACTGATTTTTTGAGATAATAAAAATAATCAAAGAAAGCTTAGAAAGAACTCCCATGTGCTGAGAGTATTGGAGACACATTAAATATAATTCGAAATTACTTAGCTGAAAAATAATTATGCAAATCAGAAAATTAATATGACCAGATTTGAGTGTAAAACTAATGAGGTCTGCGCAATGTAACAGAAAATCTAT